AATATAGAAGAATTTAAGGGAAAAAAAAAATCCTAAAAAAGTTCATTAGAAACCAAAAAATAAAAGCATAAAAAAAAAAAACTAATTTTTACTTTTTTTGGGGGGTCTTTAATGGACCTTATTCAATTTTTTTTAAAAAAAACTTTTTTGATTAATCTAATTGAGTACATCTAATTGAGTGCAATCTGAAAGTCAAAGCTTTTAAATTTCGTTGATAAAAAAATTTATTAATGATAAAAAAATCACAAAAAAATCAATCACAAACCCTCATTAATGATATGTAAAAGTGAACATATTACAGAGATATTAAGGTAACGTCTGATAACGTTTACGTTTTTTGTTTATATTTATAAAAATTTTATAAATTTATTTTTGTTTATTTTTAAAAAAATATAAACTACAAACGCGTTTGGTAATTGACATTGATTTTTGTTTATTTTTAGAAAAACATAAATTACAAACGCGTTTGGTTTGAACAAATGTTTACAAAATTTTAAAAATATAAACTAAAAAATATGTTTGTTCAGGTCTAAAATATTTATATTTATTTTTATTATTTATACCAATGGAATCACACACATTATAATTGAAAAAAGTTAATTAAAAAAATAATTGAAAAAAAAATATTTGAAAAAAATTAATTGAAAAGAAATTAATTGGGAAAAAAAATTAATTGAAAAAAAAAAGATTAACTGGAAAAAAATTATTTTAAAAAAATAATTAATTGAAAAAAAATTTATTTGAAAAAAAAATTGAAAACTGAAAACGTAAACTAATTTTTTGAGTTTACATTTTTTTTCTCAAATTTATAAATTGAGACAATTATTTATAAACCAAAAAAATTACTAAACAAGTTTTTATGATATTTTTTAATTTTTTATAAATATAAATTAAAAATTAAAAACGAAATAATTACCGCGCAGACCCTAAGTGGTGCAAGAGCATTGTTTCACACCATACAAATTGTGACATTTGTCATATTAAAGAGACAAAAAATGACGAGACCCATTATTTTAGTTAATAAAATACATATGCACTATTTAAGGGGTTGTTTGGAGTGTCTTAAATAAGTGTATTTTTTATCTTTTTAGACTAAAAAGTTGAGAAAAAAAAAATATGGATGTTGGGATTAACTTTTTGACTTTTTATGAAAAAATGTGTATTAAAAAATTGTATAAAGAAGTGTGTAGGAGAAGATGGGAGATGTGTGTTGTACAGCCGTACAATCTGCACAGCCGGATTTATGATAAAAAAATATTGGCTACTTTTCGGGCATTGCATGGACGGTTTTGTTTGGCCCGAGGGGGTCATAACGGGTCCCATTTTGATAATATGAACAGTTCAATGTGTAGAACTCGTCGAGTACTATATGCCTATACAAAATCACGTTGATCGGATATCGATAGCTATTTGACCAGATTTGATTTTTTTTCAATCGTTAATTATAACACCATTCATTTTTTTATACAAAACTGATTTGATCATATAGTTATCGATATCCGATTAATGTGATGTTTTGCAGACATATAGTACTCGACGAGTTCTACACATTGAACGGTTCAGATTATCAAAACGGGACCCGTGATGGCCCCCCACAGGCCGAACAACAGTGTGTGAAAATTGCATCCAAACTGTGCAATTTTTCTTCAAAATGCTGCGTAGCGCTGAGATCACATGATTGCTGATAATGATTGCTGAGTTGTATGAATGTGTGAAAAATTAATTTTTTAATATTTTTTTTTGGTGAATAGTAATAATTTTTTAACTTTTTAAATAATTTTTTAACTTTTTTATTTTTTAAAGGAGATGCCAAACTTAATCTAAATCTATCCATCAAGCCAACAATAATTTCTCCATATCACATGGGTGGCCATCGATTGGGTCAGGCCACACTTGTACTATTTTAATAATACCATTTTGTGTGCTGAAGTTCATACCTTATGAATTAGATTGGATTAGAGTGGACTGGAGAGGAGTTAAAACTCTTTTGTTAAAAAAATTGTGCAGTTCGTGATATGTAAGTAAGTATTGAGTATAATTAAATAATAGGAAATCTCACATTTCGATATTGGGAAATGTAATCGGATTAGTGCAAGATAAGAAATATTCAACTAATTATCTCAGTTTATCATTTTTATTAGTTAGTAACATCATATATCATATATAATAATGTCATCATTATACTCAATATTTGTTTGTAAAATACTTGTAAAATTGTTAATAACGGGTAGGAAAATGCTATAAATTCTAAATTTTTTACTAAATAAAAGGTGAAAGGCCTCACATGAGTGTAGTAGGGTCCATAATGTGAGGCCTTTGATAATTTATTTGGTAGAAAATTTGGTTTCTCTAACGAGTAAATTAGGAATAAATATGGTCATAATATGATTATTTAATGAAATTTTTTTCAATGTGATGATGGAATTGAGATGAAAGAATACCGAGAGACAGAGATACAGAGAGGATATATATGTATATACAACTCATTTAGTATGAATACGTTTTGAAGATTTGTCACATTTTTTGTAAGATATTGATTTTGATTTTTTTTTTAATTCACTTTGAATTGCCTCCATATAATTGTCGATTTAAAATTTCATAACTTCTTTTAATTTATAACAGTACACTTATCGAGTGAGCACATCTTTATATATATAGATACATACCTGCAGAACACACTATGGGAGGAGAAGAGGAGGTCTGATCTTTTGTTGATGGATGGATATGGAGTTGTGAAGATATCCAGTGGTTGTGATGGAAAGGAACAAACATAGGCTTGAGGAAGTTCAAACTTAGTACGTTAGTTTCCCTTGGAACCTTAAAACCAAAGGATCCAATTTATAAGCACAAAAAAGGTCCATAAAAAAAATGTGACAAACATATCTTTTTATGGAAAAATTTACAGAATATAACACTGTATTTATTTTAATGGAGTCCACATGCTATCCACATGCTATTATAATAGAAAATTTTAAGCGAACAAAATCTGAACAGAGAATCTAATTATGTTATTGGATTCGTGCACTTTGAAAAACTTATTAGAACGAACCCTAATGTTATGTTCCAAAAACAAAAAATATATATAAGTCTATTTTTTAGACTCATTTTCTAAATCCAATGATGTATGAATAAGATAATTGATTGATAGTTAGGGAATATTTAATTATCACCCAATATATCACTGGGTTTAGAAAATAAATCTAACTTTTTGGTCTGAATAACAATGCTTTATTTTACATTATTAATAATAAAATTAAAAAATTTACCAATTATATTAGATGGAATATCTATTAGAATTTAATTTGAATAATAAAAATTACAATTAAACAATAAAATATAAATGTCATAAATTAATAATTTTAATTTTATGTTATAATCTATCTAATCAAATATGCCAGAATGTTTCTGTACATTTGTATCCACGGATGAAAAATGCTTGGGAGCACTAATTAGTGCTCCCACTAATTAGGTGGCAGTGGGTCCCGCCATTAATGATGTGATGTTTTGGTCTTAGAGTTGTATTTTTTTTTATTTTTTTTACTTTTTTAATACATTAGTGCTATTAGTGATGATATTTTTAGTGAGATGAATCATTGTTGATCCACGGATTTGGTTGAGTATGTGAAGTCAAATCGAAGTGGTGAATCCACAACTTTACAATGTATATGGTTGGGTCTGTATATGGTCGGCTTCTCTCTCCCACCTCTCCACTATATATTATGCACTTTTCTTTTAATTACTAGTCAATTTGGATGATGATGGTATGTGCATTTGTGCAAGCATACAAGAGAAAAAAATGGTCAAAGGATTTAGATTTAGATTTAGATTTAGATTTAGATTTAACTACTTTTATGGCCTCGTTTCGAAATCTTAATTTTTAATTAAAAAATTAATATAAATTATCATATTATTCTTTTTATTTTTGCACATATCTTTTTTATTTTTTTTGGAGTAAAAAATTAAAAAATTACTACAAAACTAATTTTGAAACACCCCTAAATTCAAATAGTTGATTGTCCAAATTCAAGTGGATGCACACAACCAATCAAATTCTACTTTTAGGCAAACATTTTTGGAGTGGGTGTCTTTTTCAAATCTTCTATTTTCAAAACTACTTTATTTTGTTGCCTCCAAGTAAACTGCTATTGAAGAAAATATATTCTTGAATATAATATTATTATTTATTGAGAGTTCAATTTTGTTCACACACCTAATAATATGTGAAATTTTTACCCAAATGATAATGATGATTATAATAATAATGTGTGAATATTGATTAAAATATTGAAGATTTTCACTTTAAATAGAATCCATCATATATTTTAACTAATATATTTGATTTAACCAACTAAACAGATATGCGAACAAAATAGTTTTTCATGAAGGATAATCTTCAAAGTGATTCTTTGCCCCTTTTAGATCATTGTGGTCTCCAAATGGGTCAGAAATTAAGAACCATGAACATTGATCACTATAAGGAATATAATATATTTATATATATGTTACGCCAATTGAAAGAAAGGCACATATTGTGTATATATTACTTAATTGCTGATAATAATAAATTAATGAAAAGAAGAAGAAAAATTAGTGGCTTCATCATTAAGTATTTAATTAATATATAGATGTGTCACATAACACAAACATAGAGGTGTAAAAATGGCCCGTGGTCCGTGGGCAGCCCAAAATCCGACCGCAGCTTGAGATGGGCCTGTCCCGTTTAGGCTCGCTTGGGCTCAGGCCCAAGCTCCTAGGCTAGGGACTGGGCCATTATTTTGAAGCCCGGCCCGGCCCATGGGCCCAGCACGTGGCCCAATCCATCTGCCCGCTTAAGCCCCTGTGTATTTTTTAATGAAAAATAATAAAATTTTGGTAGAAAAAAAAATGTTAGGCCCGCCCAAGCCCGATGCCAGGCCCAAGGCCCGAATATTCCTGGGCTTGGGCCTGGGCTTAATTTTTTGGCTCATGGCCCGGCCGGAATTTTGACAGGAGCCTGCAAGGCCCAACTCGAGCCTGAATGGGCCAGACCGGGCCAAATTTACACTCCTACACAGACACGGGTGAGAAAAAAAATTAAGTTCATAAAAACATCTTGGCTAACCATGTTGCCAAGCAAAGTGACCAACACCATGAGGGAATGGCAATAATGAATGCATGCTAAGCTGAGTGCACAGAGATCTGAGCAAGGATCCTCTCTTTGGCTCTCTATTTGGTGGGTTATTGGATCTATTTTTAGGCTCAATTTTGATAATTCAAACCGTTCATATTTTAAGATTTGTCATATATATATACATGTAAAAAATCAAGTTGATCGGATATCGGAAGAACTAAAAATCATTTATTAAAAAAAATTAATAAACAGTGTTATTGTTTAATAAAACTTTTAGTTCACATGGTTTTCAATATCTGATCGATTTGATTTTTTACAAGTATAATATACATGACAAATCTTAAAATGTAAACAGTTCAGATTATCGAAATTAGGCCCAAGAGTTGACTCAATAACCCACCAAGTGAGAAGCTAAGCAGAGAATCTAAGGAGAAGATACTTGTTCCGGAGATCTGGCCAATACCAATTATCATGTTGACGTGGTGAGTTCTTAGTGGAGAATGATTCAACTATTTCAGAATGTTGGTGAAAACCTTCCCAACCATGTGGGGTCACCATTAATATTGTATTTGGTTGAAGGATTTGAGGAGAGATTTGAAAAGGGAAATAGAAAAGTTAGGTGAAATGTGAATAAAATATACTTACATTTCACCTAGTTTCACACATTTTTTCCCTTTCCCTTTCCAAATCTCCCAACCAAACACAACATAAAAGAACAAGCATGTCTAAGTATGACTTTAAGAGAAAATTGTAATAAGTAACATAGACACTTGATCTATATATGAGGCTAAGTCAAATTCTTTATAAATACGAAGAGCTCAACACAATAAAGGCGTGCGAAAAATTATCTAGTACTTACAATATTTCTTATCTTCATCCACCAAAAATTTATCTAAATTAGGCATGAGAGTGTCTTTCAAGCCATATATGACAACGGTTAGTTTACTCTAATTGTTTGCTAAAGTGTGCAAGACATTCTTTGGACTTTAGGCAAGTGTAGGAAAAAAAAATGTGCAAGATTTATAAATTTGATGGTTCACCTGATTCGTGTATGTCATGGTTATTGATTGTGAATTATTTAACTGGATATTTAATTCAAAACTTTATACAATTAATTTCAAAGAAATTTTAATTTTAATCATTTGTTGTTGCCATCATTATACTGATATATTTGAATGGACTATAACCTTTTATTTATCAATTTATCTATGTTATATCTCGAGACATAACCTAAGTCTAACTGAATTGAAATAGTGAAAATAATAATAATAATAATTAAACACAAAATCTATTTAGTGTTAAGAGATCTTTGTTTTCCATAATTCCATTTACGAGACACAAGAGTGGTAGTTCTAGCTAGGTGGATATATGGTGACTTCTAAGTTGGACATGCACTCAATTGATTAGTCTTTGAAATATTTGGCCTCCTCCCATTTTCTAGCTGTTAAAATCTAATATATAAAATATTTTCCAACTTGAAAACACCTATGTGAGGATATGACATCATAGAAAATAAAAAAAATTGAAATGATACATTCTTTTAATTTGGGAGTTCTAAACAAAACTGTAATGATTTGGCAATGAAAGAAAAAAAAAAGACACAAATATCACATTATTGTGAGGCCCACACACTATTAAAGCTCTCTAGAGCTCCCAGTCTTTTTTCATAATTTTTTTTTATGAAAGTGCTAATTAAACCAATCAGATGAAAGTCATGCATGCACATTAATTAGTGACGTCATCAAATCCATTGGAAAAGAGCTAGCCATATATATGGGAGTCCGAATCCTCTGCTGTCTTTCCTTGCGGTGGGTCCTGCGGCACCCTAAAACGATATCGTTTTGGGGCAAAATTTCAAAAAAAAATCAAAAAACAAAAACTCATAATCAAAGACGAGAAAGATGGGATGAAGGAAGGCCAGTGAAGGGAAGAAAGTAGAGCCGTTCTCTCTAGATTCTAGAGAGAGAAAGCTCCTCTTACGGATTATGGTGATCTGCGTTGAGCTAGTTCTTCTCATCCTTGAGTGAGAGTGAGCTGGCGAATAAATTCAGAGATATAGATGTTGTTATTACATCAGATTTGTGTGATATATATAGACCTGTTTATGTTTCCAGAAACTTTCAAAGCTTTGAGGTCTCTATTTGTGTAGGTTGTGAGGCTTATGAATGATAAATGGTTGGGATCATTTGGATCCTTTTGTCTGGTTGTGGGTCTTTCTTTGGGCTCATTATTTGCGAGTTTGTTGTGGTTTGTCATAGCGATTCTAGTTTTGACCCGTCACTTGTTGTATTTCGGACTTGGGTTTGTATGGTTTTGAATGGTGATTCATATATTGTTTCCCTTGTCTCCCCTCTATTTTGGTTATTGGATTGTAGTTGTGTGTTTGGAATAGGTTGGTTGCTTGTTTTTCCAAACCTTTGTTGCCTAGATTTTTGTTCCTCCGTGCGAGCGGCCATTCTTGCACTCGAGCGGGCTTTGCAATCTTTGCTTCTTCGCTCGAGTGGCACTTCTCGCGCTCGAGCGGGCTTTGTGAACTCTCAGTACTTTACAGGTTTGCAAAACTACTGAAAGTAAAAGAGTGTTTTCTACTCTCTAGTGGCATTTCCTACGCTCGAGCGGGTGAGCACTTGAGCGGCCTTTCCTGTACTCGAGCGTTAGTTTGTTGTCTGCAAAACTTCTGGATGTGTGTTTTCT